TAGTCTCTATGGTTTTAATTTATGTCGATTGTCAACTTGACTTTTATTACAGTACTGTAGGATTTATTGTTGTGTGAAAGTAACAGTGAAATGAAACCCATGTTTAAGTTCTGCAAATAACTTAGTCACGTCCAAAACACCTCAACTTAGGTTCTAAATTTGAGTTTGCGGTTTTACATGCACAGTTATTTTCTGATCCACTTTAGCATGCAAAATCACACACTGGCTAGGTTGGATATAGTTATAGCGGCAACAAGTAATGGATCACATTTTCAGCTTATTTAGCTCACTAGCTACATCATCATTACCAAAACTATGCCAGTATTTTGACATCTGTGTATTTTGCTTATTGGTGTAAGTCAACAATGGTGAATATCAATAATTTATAGAATTTCTGGTTGAAATAGCATCCAAGTATGTTAACCTATCTGCGTATGTGTGCACCCATATGGAGAGTCTTTGGTTAAGTTCCATTTCACAAAAGGGGAACTTTGAATACATTTAGTCATATAAACATTCATTTGAAATATTTTATATAATTTTTATTTTTAAATGTTTTTGGATATCAGAATTTACTTCCAATAATTTTTAAATAAAAGAAATAGGGAGTTGAAGTCTCCTTGTTGGCTTTTCACTTCCATTCCACAAAGAGGCAACCACTATCATTTACTTGCCATATACTTCCAGGCCATATTTTTATTATTAACAGCCTAAGTTATATCACCATGAATAAATATTTTTAGATCATATATTACATTTTTAACTATATAAGTTCTATTATAGTGTTTATTTCATTTTTTAGCTTGTTATTTTTCCTCAGCCTTGTATTTTAGAAATCAGTCTAGGTTAATCTGTCCAAAAGTTGCTTCATTTTAATGCCTCTATAGTTTGATTTATTCCAGCTTATTCATCTTTTGCACAAGAGATGTCCATTCAGGTTGTGAACCTTACACCAATATCTTGCTATCCCAAACAATGTTTCAGTGAACGATCTCTCTCTCTCTCCCTCTCTCTGACTACCTCTCCCCCTTCTCCTCCCTGTCTCTCTCTCCTGATGTACCTGTCCGAGATTTCTCTCTAGGAAATATACCTAGTAATCTATTACTGGGTTGTACATTATAGGCATTTGTAATTTTATCAAATATTATCCAATTGTTTCAGAAAAAGGTTTTTAATTTATGTCCCCACCTGCAGCATGTAAAAGTTCCTATTTCTTTATATTCTTACAGACACTTTTGTAAAACTTTATTTTTAAACTTTTTTTCCAGTACAATGGATATGAATAAAAGAGTTTATTGTTATGGCTCTAATTATCTGGCCTCATTATTTGTGAGTTTAAACATTTTTTTCTAAGTACTTATTGACTGTTTTCAGTTTTACTCTTTATTGGTTGCCTGTTCATATTTTTTCCTCATTTTTTTCTGAGTTATTTGTCTTTTCTTATTGACGTGTGAGTGTTCTTTATTTTAAGTACTAATCTTTTGTCAGCCATATGTATTATAAATATCTTCTCCTAATCTTTAAACTTGGTGGTAGATTTTTTTAAATATATGTTATTGATTATGCTATTACAGTTGTCCCATATCCTCCTTTCACTCCCCTCCACCCCGTATATCTCTTCCATCCACATTCCCCCCTTTAGTTTATGTCCATGGGTCATACATGTAAGTTCTTTGGCTTCTACATTTCCCATACTATTCTTACCCTCCCCTTGTCTATTTTCTACCTACCATTTATGCTACTTATTCTCTATACCTTTCCCTCCTTTCTCCTCCTTCCACTCCCCTGTTGCTAACCCTCCATGTGACCTCTATTTCTGTGATTCTATTCCTGTTCTAGTTGTTTGCTTAATTTGTTTTAGTTTTTGTTTTAGGTGTGGTTAATAATTGTGAGTTTGCTGTCATTTTACTGTACATGTTTTTTATCTTCTTTTTCTTAGATAAGTCCCTTTAACATTTCATATAATAAGGGCTTGGTGATGATGAACTCGGACTTGACCTTATCTGAGAAGCACCTTGTCTGCCCTTCCATTCTAAATGAATGCTTTGCTGGATAGAGCAATCTTGGATGTAGGTCCTTGCCTTTCATGACTTGAAATACTTCTTTCCAGCTCCTTCTTGCCTGCAAGGTCTCTTTTGAGAAATCAGACTGTCTTTTGAGAAAAACAGTCTGATGGTAACTCCTTTGTAGGTAACTGTCTCCTTATCCCTTGCTGCTTCTGGGATTCTCTCCTTCATTTTAATCTTGGCTAAGATAATTATGATGTGCCTTGGTGTGTTCCTCCTTGGGTCCAACTTCATTGGGATTCTCTGAGCTTCCTGGACTTCCTGGAAGTCTATTTCCTTTGCCAGATTGGTGAAGTTCTACTTTATTATTTGTTCAAATAAGTTTTCCACTTGTTGCTCTTCCTCTTCCCCTTCTGGTACCCCTATAATTCAGATGTTGGAATGTTTAAAGATTTCCTGGAGGTTCCTAAGGCTCTCCTCATTTTTTTGAATTCTTGTTTCTTCCTTCTTTTCTGATTGGATGTTTCTTTCTTCCTTCTGGTCCAGTCCATTGTTTTGAATCCCAGTTTTCTTCCCATCACTATTGATTCCCTGTGCATTTTCCTTTATTTTACTTCATGTAGCCTTCATTTTTTCATCTAATTTGCAACCAAATTCAACCAATTCTGTGGAAATCCTGATCACCAGTGTTTTGAACTGTGCATCTGATAGGTTGGCTACCTCTTCATTGCTTGGTTGTATCTTTTCTGGAGCTTTTATCTGTTCTTTCGTTTGGGCCATTTTTTTTGTCTTGACACACCTGTTATATAGTGAGGGGCAGAGCCTTAGGTGTTCACCAGGGTGGGGCAACCCACGTTGCTGGGTTGTCACGCTGCTTGTGGGAGAGGGGTCCAAGAGGGAACTGGCGCTTGCTCAGCTCTCTTCCAGATTTTAGTCTATTCCGCCACTTTCCCCAAGCAAATTGGGCCCTTCTGGTGCTGATTTTCATGTGGGTGGGCTTGTGTACATTCTAGGACCCCATGAGTCTCTCCTACAAACTCTCCTGTGAGGCTGGGAGTCTTTTCCAGCACCTCAAAACCCACAGGTGTTTTCAATTGGTGTTTTGAGGCTTTATTTCCCTGCGATGGAGCCCTGGGTTGTGCCGTCTGTCTCACTCCCCAGTGTCACCTGGTTTATCTGTGCATGAATGTGGGACCTCCGGGTCTGCCAGCCACCTGGCACACTGAGCCCCTCCACAATCTACCACCTTGCTGGGTTCTCCCGCTGCCACCCCACGCCCGGGATCTGCCAGCTACCATCAGTGCACCCGGGGTTTGGCAGTCACCACTTTTTATTGCCGCAACCCCTCTCCACCCAGTGGTCTGACCCTGCCCCTCCTACTGGTCTGGATGAATGTGTCTACTTTAACTCCTTGGTTGTCAGACTTCCATACAGTTCAATTTTCTGTCAGTTCTGGTTGTTTTTTTTTTGTTTCTAGTTTGTTGTTGTCCTTATTTTGGTTGTGCAAGGAGGCACAATATGTCTGCCTATGCCTCCATCTTGGCCAGAAGTCTGTGGTAGATTTTTATCATACAGAAGTTCTTTAATTTTGGATTGTTAGGTCAAATATTTTAAATCAATTTATTTTTGTATCTTATGTCTTATCACAAAACATCCATTACTACTTTGGGTCAATTACAGTATGCTACCGTGTTTACTAATGTAAATGTTAAAGTTGTATTATTTTATCCCTAAGCCTTTAACATGTTTTTGAATTTATTTGTATGTACAGCATGAGGAAGCTATCTAAATTTATACTTTGCAAGATGGATAGCCAGTTATTCCAGCACCATTTATTGATTAGCCATTTTTTTTCCACTGTGGTATGATGTTACCTGTATCCTACAGAATTCCTAAATGACCTCCTTACCTGTTCCTGCACCAGTACCACTCTGTTTTAACTATGATGACATCATGATACACTTTGATATGTAGCAGGGCAAGTCCCCTTCTTTAATTCTTCTTTCATATAATTGGTTGTTTTTATTTCTCAATATTTGCTCTTCTGATTTTTAGAATCAATTTATTTCTTCTGTTCCAGAAACAAAACCTGTGGTGCTTTTATTTCAACTGCATTGAATATGTAGGTTAATATAGAGACATTAACATGTATATTAATTTTATTTCTCACCCATGAAATAGTATTTTAATCCCTAGCATGCTATTTATTCAGGTTTTCTTTTTGTATCTTTGATGTAATTTTATTTTTTTCCTTACAAATTACGCATTTTGATAGGATCATTTCCTTATTATCTCATCATCTTTGCTGCCATTATGGTAATGTTTACTGATTAATTGTTGCTGGATTATTACCAGCAACTTGATTGATTTCGTGTTTTGATCTTGCATCCAGCAACCCTGCTATACTTTTTAGTTTTTAACAGCTTGTATATGCTTTTGCATTTTCTATGTATACCACCATATTTTCTGCTTATAATGACACTTTATCTCTTATTTCCCTATCACTGTGTTTTGTATTTATTTTTCTTGTTTGTTACTTTGGCGGGGACCACTGGTTCAGTGTCAGGAAATAGCAGTGATGCTGGGCATTCTTGTCTATGGGTTGTGATTACAATTGTGTAATGAATTCTCTCAATGTGTCTGTTCTCACTGCTTTCCTGTGATAGCCAGATTAAGCATCTCAACATAGCAAGCCAAGGTTTAAGTATGAATTGTGGTCATATAATGAAATAAAATTATCATACTGGTAAGAGGACCCAAGCTTTGCCTCGTTCAAACTCTTTTCTTACTTTCTAAATTAACCCATCCACATCTGTTACCAAGCATTCAAGATGTGATATAGTAAAACAATTCATTTAAAGGATCTCAACTATAAGTATTTGGGTATTGTGGTGGTTGTTCTTTCTCCATGGACAAGGTTGGCTTCATGGGAAATGTCTTATCAGAAATATAAATTTATATCTGTTGATATTTTCCAAAATATCTTTTTTGTAGACTCCCATGAACCAAGCTTCAACTCGTTCCCATTGCATTTTCACTATTCATTTATCAAGCAAAGAACCAGGATCTGCAACTGTCCGACATGCCAAACTTCATTTGGTGGACCTGGCTGGTTCAGAGCGAGTTGGAAAAACTGGAGTAGGGGGCCAGCTTCTCACAGAGGCCAAGTACATCAACTTGTCACTGCATTACTTAGAACAGGTAAAATGGGCACAATGGGATGTAACAATACCTACCGTTTGTTGACCTTGTATTTTGTATCTGGCATTCTCCTAGCATTTTTGTTCTGTTTTGCTCCTTTTCTTCCTTCATTATGGTAAAATAACATAAAATTTACCATTTTAATAATTTTAAATGTACAATTCAGTGGCATAAAGTACATTGAAAATGTTGTGCAATCATTACCACCATTTATTTCCAGAACTTTTTTCTTTTTAATCATTTTATATTAACATTTGAATACAGTTGTCTCCATTTTCCCATCACTACTTTTCCCCATCCCACCATCCCCCAACTCCCACCCTCAATCCTACCCCCCTTTGGCTATTTCCAGAACTTTTTCATCATCCCAAACAGAGATTCTGTCTCCATCAAACAGTAACTCCCTATTTCTTTGTACTCCTGTCCCTTGGTAACTTTTATTCTACTTTCTGCCTCTTTGAATTAGCCTATTCTAGAAATTCATGTAAGGGGAATCACATATATAATATTTGTCATTTTGTGTTTGATTTATTTCACCTAGCATGTTTTCAAGGTTTATCTGTCTTGTAGTGTGTATCTGAATTTTATTCTGTTTTAAAGCTGAACACCACTCCACTGTACATATATACCACATTTTGTTTATCCATTCATCTATCAATGGACACTTACTTGGGGTGTTTCCACCTTTTGATTAATGCTGCTATGCATATTGGTATAGCTGCTAGCATTTTGTATGTGCCATTTTATTTAAACCTCACAACACTCCTACACTATAGGTGTGAGTTATTATCCCCATCTTATAGACTTGAAAACTCGGGTCTTCCCAAAACCTTCCCAAGTTACACAACTAGTGGTGAGATAAGGACTTGAACCTAGAATTGCTTGGCTTCAAAGCCTGTGCTTTATTTCATGAGGCATAATCGTTGTTGTAGTAAGATTAGTAGTGGATGTGAATGTAGGTTTAAATGGCCTCCCATGGCCTATTTCTTCATGCTCGTAGGTTAGCTATGGGAAAAAAATTTAGAGATGAGCATTACCTTTTCCATTTCTGGTGACTTCACCTAGGTGGTAATTTTGACTCTGCGATGGTTCCCTTTGCCTTAACTCCCCTCCAGGCTCCTGCCCAAGCTTGCTCCAGTCCACCCCCATGTGTGCTCGCTTTTTAATTTATGAATTTGACTTTGAGGGCAGAGAAAGCTTATCTGAATTTAGCAAAATAAATCTTCCAGAAAAAAAAATCTCATTTCTAAAATGAGTGAATTGAGTGAGATGGTTTCTCACATTCCTTTCAGCTCAAGTCTCAAGTGCTGAGACTTGAATATTAAAGATAGAAATACTTCCAAAGTCTAAAAAGAAGAGAACCAGGATCAAAAACTGGAGTGGAGAAATACAGAGTAGGTTGGCAAGGCAGAGGACCTGTTAATGAATGTTGGAGGCTAAAAGATTTGAGAAAAATAAAAACACCTTTTTAAAAACTGCCTAATAACCTTTTGAGACTGTTGTTGTTTTGGTGTTAAATCCTTTGTAATGGTCAAGTTGGCTGAAAAAGAAGATGAGAGAAAAGCTAAGGGAGCTTTGTCTGAACAAGGTGTGCATAGTCAGACTGTGACCCAATGAATCCCAGTAATGCAGTGCCCAGAGATGAAGGTCTGCATGGCATTCAAATCATTTTAGTGACTCTTAACAAGAGTCAGCATTCCTGAGCTCTTTCTTGCTCAAATAATTCATACTACTTATACTTAACAGAGCTTTTTACTCAATAGGACACTTACAAAACATTGATATGAAATCATAATGGACTGACTGTATTCAAAATGCTTAATTTCAAAGAAATGTACCTACTTGTTTCAGATGGTAGCACTGTCTATTTTAATTCCTATTATGTCCATCTGTTCATACAAAATAACATCCATCAGTTGAATCAGAATTTCCATCCATTGTAATTACTCAAGAGAAATGTGCTGCTTCTAACCCTTTCTTTTCCTTTATTTTACATGATCTTTGCAAGCTGCTACTTGTCATTAAAACTCTTTCTCTCCCCACATATCTTCTCTACAAAATCCTCATAACATCAGCCTCATGGGGGAAGTGGCATTTGATTTTCTGTATAACTGATTCATTTATTTAACAAATATTTGTAAGGAGCAATAATGTGCTACTATTCATGCTTGCCCTAGAGCATAGTGGTGAGCAAACAGTTGCAGTTCTTGCCCCAAAGGCCTCATGGTCCAGTGGAGGGACACATACATTGAATAGATAAAATGAAGTAATCACTTGTAATCCAGGGAGAGCTATGCATAGAAAGTACAAGGAGTAAGGATGTCTTGTAATGGGGGACTTAGACTGAGGAGGGGTGGTCATGGAGGTCTTCACAGGGCTGACAGTAGGCAGACACCTGAAGAATGAGTAGGAGTGAGCCAGGCAAGGATGGGGTTACAGCATGTCAGACAGTGGGAACTGGGAGCCTGTCAGCCCTTAGCTCCAGTCCAGGGGGATGGATTCACCCAAGGTCACACTGATATTTACATATCATTGACCTTTGGGTGTCTGACCATAATTTATCTATTTCATATTCACCTGCTGCATCACTCTAGTTGTTAACTACTTACACTGATATACAAGAGTCTTCACAGAGGTCATAGCACAAAATAATGGAGGGAGGAGGAGGAGATTAGCAGGAGAGGAAAGAAGAACATAAATATAGAAAACTGTAGTATGTGGACGTGGACACATGGGGTTGAGTACATCAAGGAGCAGCTGCCAGGGGGAAAGTAGGTGGATAGTAGAGAATTTTTTTTTTATTTCACGCCAAAAGAGATAAGAGAGAGAGAACCAAAGAGTCCATAGGAATGAGAATAATAAAAAGAGTAGGCAGATACTGTTAATGAAATAACAATTTGAAGACTTTCATAATCAAATTTTCTTTGTATGCCTAATAAAACTGGAAGTGTAACACAAATTAGTTTAACTATGTTCATTCAAACAAGAGAAAAGAGCCTTAGGTTTTTCAGGGAGTTCTGGCCAAGATGGAGGCATAGATAGAAACCCCTCACTTCCTCACACAACCAAAAGGAGGATAACAACCAATTTAAAATCAGTAAAGAACCAGCCCTGGCTGGCATAGCTCAGTGGATTGAGCGCAGGCTGTGAACCAAAGTTTCACAGGTTCGATTGCCAGTCAGGGTACATGCCTGGGTTGCAGGCCATGACCCCCAGCAACCGCACATTGATGTCTGTCTGTCTGTCTGTCTGTCTGTCTCTCTCTCTCCCCCCTCCCCTTCCCTCTCTGAAAATACATAAATAAAAATTCTAATTAAAAAAAAATTTAAATCAGTAAAGAACCAGAAGTGCCAGAAAATCAAACAGCATGGAACTCCAACAACCAAAGAATTAAGGAAACGGTCAACCAGAACAACCAGACCCATAAAGTGATGAACAGAGAGAACCCGCAGCGAGGTTGTGGACTGTGTGGGTGAGGCTGACTGAATGAGAAACAGACTCAAAACTGACTGTGGACTATGGCAGGGTTAGCTCGGTGGGAGAAAGAGTTCGTTGGAAAGTCGGGTAGAGCTGAGCAGGCAAGCTGCATTGTTCTCTCTCTGGCCCCTCCCCAACAGGCAGCACCACAGTGCAGCAAAGAGGGTTGCCCTGCCCTGGTGAATACTTAAGGCCCCACTCCTCTTACAACTTAATAGGTACCCTAAGACAAAGAATAGGGTCCAAATGAAAGAACAGAGCAAAACTTCAGAAAGAGAGCTAAGTGATAAGGAAATAGCCAACCTATCTGATGGAGAATTTAAAGCCCTGGTAATCAAAATGCTCACAGAACTGATTGAGCTTGGTTGGAAAATGAAAGAACAAATGAAAGATACCCAAAATGAAATAAAGCAAAATATTCAGGGAACCAACAGTGACAGGAAGGAAACCAGGACTCACATCAACGATTTGAAATAAAAGGAAGAAATAAACATCCAATGAGAACAGAATGAAGAAACGAGAATTCAAAAAAATTGAGAGAGACTTAGGAACTTCTGGGACAACTTGAAATGTTCCAATATCTGAATTATAGGGGTTCCAGAAGGAGAACAACAACAGCAAGAAATTGAAAACTTATTTAAACAAATAATGAAGGAAAACTTCCCCAATCTGGCAAAGGAAATAGACTTCCAGGAAGTCCAGGAAGCCGATAGAGTCCAAGAGAAGTTGGACGCAAAGAATACACCAAGGCACATCATTACCTTGTGGCACAATTACATTACCTAAGGTACAATTACATTACCTTAGATTAAAGATAAAGAGAATCTTAAAAGCAGCAAGAGGAAAGGAGACAGTTAGTTACAAAGGAGTTCCCATAAGGCTATCAGCTGATTTCTCAAAAGAAATCTTGAAGGCAAGAAGGGGCTGGAAAGAAGTATTTGCAGTCATGAAAGGCAAGGGCCTACATCCAAGATTGCTCTATTCAGGAAAGCTATCATTTAGAATGGAAGAGCACATAAAGTGCTTCCCAGAAAAGGCCAGGTTAAAGGAGTTCATCATCACCAAGCCCTTAATATATGAAATGTTAATGGTACTTATCTAAGAAAAAGAACAAGATCCAAATTATGAACAGTAAAATGACAGCAAACTCACAACTATCAACAAATAAACCTAAAAAAGAGAAAACAATGAAAACAAAAACTAAACAAATAACTAGAAGAAGAACAGAATCAAAGAAATGGACATCATCACATGGAGGGTTATCAGTGGTGAGGGGGAAGGGCGGAATGGGGGGAAAAGGTACAGGGAAGAAGCATAATTGGCAGTCATAAAATAGATGGGGAGAGGTCAAAAACAGTACAGGAAACAGAGAACTCAAAGAACTTACATGTATAGCCCATGGACATGAACTATGATGGGAGGAATGCTAGAGGGTTGGGGGATGCAGGGTAGTGGGAGGATAAAGGGGGTGAAATTGGGAAAACTGTAACAGCATAATCAATAAAATATACTTTAAAAAACTA